GGGGCGGGGGGTGGGGCTTTAAAAAAAATAGTGTGTCAGGTTGGAACCAGTTGGCTTTGAAAGCAGTGAATTTCATTCCATCTCTAACGGTTCGGAGTTCCACACCCATGTCATGACTCATGAGGCATCATAAAATCATAAATCTTTGTGTTGTGACCTGACCACACCGACCAAATTTTGAAAGGCAGGTTCACTGCCAACAGATGACCACATTACACTGAGGCGATCGGACAGTCCACGAGTAAGAGCGCCAGTCTGTCTAGGAAGTTCGAGCGCACAACTGAAAGACGAGAGCGATGGTCGGGAAAACGTAAACGTCCACGAGTTCACAGTTTGATAGAATGCAGTCTGATGCTTGCGGCTTGCTTGTAGGGCTCCCCACCTGGTGTGTGATATAAGATTAGGGGGATGGCTCAGGTGATCGGGGAAAGCAAGGCATCTACGAGTTCACACCTTGGTGCGATCCCGTCTGGGGTAAACATTGTAACTTAATGTAACCGCTTATAATCGAGATTTACAACAGAGGTGTGATCACATTGATGAGAGTGAATGATCCGTGACCCGACAGACAATACAATGATCGCACATTTTCACTACTTGGTTGATCAGCTGAGTGCGCACAGATTTCTTCTTTTCTTTTTCTTAAATAAAGAACAAAATAACTAAATTATGACCTAAAAAGCGGGATCTTAGCCGAATGTTGTTCCTTCAGTGTGGGATCGTAGGGGTGACTTTTAGTAAACATTCTGTTTTTCCAAAACAGCGGGATCTTAGGCAAACCGGGACCATTATAAGCGGTGAGATCTTAGGCGGAGACTACTGTTTTGTAAACATTGTTTCAAGAACTTTCGTTTCTTAGCTTCAACCCCCAATGTTCCTCTCTGTTGTATGCTATCCTCTTTTGTTTTTGTTTGTTTTGATTTTCATTAGCAAAGAAAATTAGTAAAATTTTTACCAAATATATTATGTTTAAATGTTATTTTTGATTATTTTAGAAGTAGGCCTACAGAGAATCATAATTAAAAAACACTTAAGTAGAGATCCTCAGCCCAGCCTCCTTTTTTTCTTTTTTTCCCCTTGAATTTCTATTTTTATTGTTTTCCACTTCTCCCAACTGCATATTAAACTAGATTTAATTTTAGTCTTTAAAGTTCATTTCGAAATTTATTGAAAACCTTGAGTGTATCCTCACTGTATTCTTGTTAGCCCCCCCCCCCATATGTCTTCTGTTTGGATTTTTTTTCGTACATATATGAGCATTTACCAAAAGGTGGGATACCTGGGTGTGACAAATGAGGTCCAAAATCAACTTAATGTAATAATTCTTTAATCACCCATATTATATAGCCTAATGATTGCTCTTTCAGGCTCAGTAACTGCCAAAGCTGTATATGCAATGGTTTTGGTGTAATTCTGACTTGAATGACGGAAATAACAAAAAGTTCTTTCATAACAATGATGACACAAATTTATGAATACTCAAAGTTCCTTTCTTCAGCTAGGCTGAGGTTATATTTTGAGACATAGCAAATAACTTCCAAAAATACATAGAATTGACAGTTTATAAAAATCTTTATTAATTTTTGATAAAATTACTTTTTTATGTCATAATAGTTATGAACGAACAATAAGTGACCAAAATACTATCAATTATGTCAAGTTTCAATGGCTAGAATTGTCTAAAATAACACTCTGGTTTAATTATAGTCAATGAAAGACCATTTAACAGCTATTTTTAAACGCAAACTGGTCATAGGGCATGTTATGCATAAATTTAAAGTTCGTTCATAACCATTATGACACACTGTTTCGTTCATAACTATTATTACAAATTTTACTTTGGGCCCCTAAAATTTACTTTTATATTGTTCTGCCTTTCACATAAAATGGTTTTCATTTATGAGACTTTCCTTAAAATATGATAGATTCCTCTATGTAGGGAGAATTCAAAGTTTATTCACTGAAAAACCCTTAGAATACCTTTAAAATGGTTCGTTCATAACAATTATGACAAACTTCAATTTTGACCTAAAAATGTATACATTTTGATCTGTCATTCATTTGGTGGGGGGTGGGGCTTTTAAAAAAATAGTGTGTCAGGTTGGAACCAGTTGGCTTTGAAAGCAGTGAATTTCATTCCATCTCTAATGGTTCAGAGTTCCACACCCATGTCATGACTCATGAGGCATCATAAAATCATAAATCTTTGTGTTGTGACCTGACCACACCGACCAAATTTTGAAAGGCAGGTTCACTGCCAACAAATGACCACATTACACTGAGGCGATCGGACAGTCCACGAGTAAGAACGCCAGTCTGTCTAGGAAGTTCGAGCGCACAACTGAAAGACGAGAGCGATGGTCGGGAAAACGTAAACGTCCACGAGTTCACAGTTTGATAGAATGCAGTCTGATGCTTGCGGCTTGCTTGTAGGGCTCCCCACCTGGTGTGTGATATAAGATTAGGGGAATGGCTCAGGTGATCGGGGAAAGCAAGGCATCTACGAGTTCACACCTTGGTGCGATCCCGTCTGGGGTAAACATTGTAACTTAATGTGACCGCTTATATAATCGAGATTTACAACAGAGGTGTGATCACATTGATGAGAGTGAATGATCCGTGACCCGACAGACAATACAATGATCGCACATTTTCACTACTTGGTTGATCAGCTGAGTGCGCACAGATTTCTTCTTTTCTTTTTCTTAAATAAAGAACAAAATAACTAAATTATGACCTAAAAAGCGGGATCTTAGCCGAATGTTGTTCCTTCAGTGTGGGATCGTAGGGGTGACTTTTAGTAAACATTCTGTTTTTCCAAAACAGCGGGATCTTAGGCGAACCGGGACCATTATAAGCGGTGAGATCTTAGGCGGAGACTACTGTTTTGTAAACATTGTTTCAAGAACTTTCGTTTCTTAGCTTCAACCCCCAATGTTCCTCTCTGTTGTATGCTATCCTCTTTTGTTTTTGTTTGTTTTGATTTTCATTAGCAAAGAAAATTAGTAAAATTTTTACCAAATATAATATATTTAAATGTTATTTTTGATTATTTTAGAAGTAGGCCTACAGAGAATCATAATTAAAAAACGCTTAAGTAGAGATCCTCAGCCCAGCCTCCTTTTTTTCTTTTTTCCCCCTTGAATTTCTATTTTTATTGTTTTCCACTTCTCCCAACTGCATATTAAACAAGATTTAATTTTAGTCTTTAAAGTTCATTTCGAAATTTATTGAAAACCTTGAGTGTATCCTCACTGTATTCTTGTTAGCCCCCCCACATATGTCTTCTGTTTGGATTTTTTTTCGTACATATATAAC